TCTCACAGGCACAACTTAACTTCCTTGATAGCCTTTTAATAAAAAATGCTGTCTCTAAGTTCTGTGTAGGCAGTGCAATGGAAATTAGAACTGAAACCAGGGAGATAAAAGAGAAAACATTAAGACATTACCATCTCAATCACAATAAATACACCAGAACTAGGAACAGTACTATTTTTCTAAAGCAAAATAAAAGTATGTTTTGCCAACTGGGGAAGATGGGTTGTCTCTGATTTTAGTAAAAATACCAAATTGCATCACATATTCCTGGCTAGCCATGCTTTCCAAAGAAAAATATCCTTTAAACTTTTCTGTTATGCAAAACACTTTAGAAAGAAGAGGGTTTTTTTAAGCGTTCTAATAAAGGTACAACAGTTGGTAGGTGGAAGGGCAGAGAAAGGAGGAGAGTCAGCAACAGGAGGAGCAAATGGGCTGTGTGGCTAACTGCCCCCTTCAAAAGACACTATACCAGCAGGGCCGGGTAGTGCTGGGCTACCCTCACTGCCTATCCCAGTCAAAGGCTCGATGAACGCACCAGAACAGGAGCAGGGGAACATGCAAAAAAACTTTGATCTTCTTTTCTGCAGTTCTGGAGGTTGTACCCCTGAAAGTACTTCCCTGAGATCATCTTTAGGGGAATGACAAACATATCCCCTGAAGTCTTCTTCTTAACTTCTTAAGTCAAAAGTACGGTGTAACGGAGACAGCATCATGGGAAGAAGTGGTGTGAAAGACTGTTTGGGAGAAGAGATAACACGTCATGTGGGGAGGAAAGTCTGAAAAACAATAAAGTCAAGTCATCTGTCTTCAAAAGATTTGGACTTTGGGGTTCCTATGGAAAATTTAATATGGTCTTAGAAGCAACTCAAATGTTTCCTTTGGACCTTGTTTAAATGTTTTTACATCAAACTAAGAAATAGCCCAAACCCACAGCAAGCAAGCATCATTCACAGTGATGCTAGAAGAGGTTTAGAAGGCTGTAAGTCTTTCTCCTAAGGAGATTAGCAGTCCTATGCCACCCTAAAAGCACCACCGATCAAAGAAGTCAGCCTCAGAATGGCCTAGAAAGTGCTTTCAAGTGACCCTAGGAATCAAACTCGTGACCCCAAGCCCAAGGTCCATTTTCAAAACGAGCACATATTTAGAAAAGCGGCTTCTTTCTAGACCCACAGCAGAAGCACACATGGCCAATGGAGACATTTTAGAAATACTTACTAAACACGACAGAATTAGAAGGGTGGCAAGTCTGGAGGACAGATAGAGTCCGTCCACTAAATGTCCTCCTGACGATGTGGAGAGTGGTCAGTTTCCCACGGCTGGCCCACGAGGGCAGTGAGACCAGCCCTAGGACAAAGGACACTGCAGTTACGGGTTCCTCATCCACATCTTGCTCTGATCTTTGAACATGTCCACTGTACTAGGGGACGGGATTTGAATGATTGCCAACCACGCAGACCAGGCTCACCAGCGGCAGGTATGCCTGGTGTACGCGCGGATGAAGAAAAGGGTAAAGTAGGCCCATCAGTCAACACATACGAATAGATGATTAATGTGCCGAGGGAAAAGCTTGCCACTTGCACTAGGATCTCCAGAGAAACCAATTAACTATATATACACAGATAGGTTATATATATAATATATACATTATATATATATATCACCAACAAAATAGCATCAATCCATACTAGATTGGTTTTACACCTATCCTTTCAAATTTTAAAACCTGTAGGAGGCTCTGATGGACATAGTTCAGATTTCCCCAAAATAATAAATACAGTAGGATCCTTTGAAGTCCTAGCTTCTGCAAACTGATGTCATTATTATTTTGTTAAGTTGATTTAAAAAAAAATAGTTTCAAACAAATTTGAGAAACTGCATGATGTTGGAGATTTCCAAATATCTGATTATCGAAAGCTTTTTCTACTTTAAATTTCCCAAGCACACCTATGTAAATACATACTTTTCCAACTATGCTGTAATTCCCTTTTAATTTCCCTTTCTGTATAAAGTAGCATTTAAAAGAAGGGCTTTCATCTCACAATTCTAAGCCATTTTCTAAATCAGTCATCCTGAGCTTTGGGGAGGCCCGTTCACACACACTCCACTGGACTTGTTGGCGCGGAGCGGGAACTGACAGACCTCAATGGCAGTCCATTCTTTAGATTCAGCTACCTCCAAGAACTGCTGCGGTCACAGAGATAAACCACCCACTCTTGAGGTTTTGAACATGCAAGCTTGGATGAAGCCACAGAGCAGAAACTATTTGGGTTTCTCCCCCAATGATAACTCTTTCCCATCTCTCCTAGGCAACAGATTCCATTTGCTGGCTAAGCAAAGGTTTAACTGCACATGAGAGTGGGATGTAAAGAGAATATTTTAGAATGTATACGGTACTCTTTTTAAAGGCAGGAGAGCCACCTTTAGCAATTTAGGAACTAACTTGCCAGAAATCAAGGCCTTAGCTGCAGGGGTGCTTACATAGCACAGCTCTGATTGCCACACAGGCTCACTTGAGAGCGCTACACGAGGGAGCACTGTGTGGACATGTCCCTGGATGCTAGGTGCTCAGAAATTGCCATACAAAGGCCCTTTTGTAGGGGTGAGGACATAATTTCTATTTCTTTAAAATGCACGGAAATGTTGCTGGAAAGTCCTTGGGGTAAGGGAGTTCACCACTCCTTCCTTCTAAGATCTCACAGCCAAGAAACACAGTCATGCTCCACATTACGCCCCTTTGGTAAAGCCTGTTATTATATTCCAAATTTGACACACCTAACAGCCAAATAACAGCTGGGCGCCACTTTGCAGTGTGCATCAAGTATTATCATCATCATCACTGTTAGAGATGCTTTTGTGAACTTGGCAGTGCTTTGTTAACACCATTTATGCAAAGAAGGGTACACTATCTACCCATGTACTAAGACAAACTGATGTTAGACATGCATAGAATTGTACCTTGCTGCTCAAATTGTATTTACAAATTTGACTCACAGACAAAATCATCTTACAGGGACTTGCTGCTTGATGCTGCATAGGGGGAACCTTCACCTGGCTCCCAAACGGTTTCAACTAACATATACCTTCAACTTAAACACAGACTTAGGATGGAACCCATACACAATCCAGGGGCTGGCTGCATATAATTGGGTGTTCACACATGTCCAAATCACAGGAAGCCTTATGTCACAAATGGACCGTGGATGCAGTATAACAGCATCACGGCACACAAGTGCACGGCACAGTTGATTTTCTTCTTAGACATGCTGGTTTTCCTGAGTATCATAAATTAACTTCACTGCTCCTCCTTCTTCACCCCGGAAATACAATTTTCTCTGGCTTTCCTTTGCTTTTAAGCCCCCACCCCACTTCCACCAGCCCTTCTCAAAAGTCACTTTGGAATGTGTAGGGATGACAGAAACGCAGGTGGCTCTACATCCCCTGTAGGAATCCTGGTGCTGTCGTCGTCAGGTGAGCAGTGGACTGCATGCCGCCACACAACCGGGTACAATCCACCAGCCAGTCCTGGGGAGCAGGGGGAGGTTACCCGCTCCCATAAAGTTGTACAGCCTTGGAAACCCATAAAAGGCCGATCCGAGGCAGAAGTGACTGGACAGATAAACTGACTGCACAGACAGACTGCCAGTGGCAGTGGGTTATATGTCAGCGTGGGTGAAAGTAAAAACACGCTGGGAGGCTCACATTAACATTTCCCTTCACCTGAGGGAAGCAGATTCCCCAAATCAGAGTCACTATCCCTCACTCCAAGGATAAAAACTCTGAAAAGACCGTTTAAAAATGGAGATTAAAAAGAAGCCTTGCAAGGTAAGGAAGACTTTGATTATTTTTCCAAGTTTCCTCAATCAGGGACTCACCAATGTTCTGACAAGGGGCAGATAAATAGTTTCAGAACCCAGACTACAATACACGAAGCATGTATGAGTACCCACAGGAACTCATAATAACTTGGGTAAGAGAACGAGTTGCTATTGAACTGAAGTCCACAGCATCCAGGGTCACTGTGAGTCCGAGCTGACTTGATGGCTGGGGTTGGGTCTGGCACAGCACCCATGTGGGGCTTCAATGCAGTTGACTTCCTGCTCTGATGGTGAAAGATAACGGTGAAACAGCGACGCCTACAAGCTAAATGGAAAGTACATGACCTTGAGAGAGGACTTTCAAGCAAAAGGGAGTCCAGAAAGGCGAAGTCAAAGTGCTCCTTTGACCCCCAACAAGGGAAGCAATGCATTTCTCTGGATTGAAAGGGAAAAGCTGTGAGTAACCGCATGCCCAATGTTAAATAGCATTAATGAGTTAACTTGTACATTCATGGCTATATCACAAAATAATATTCATCGTACACCCACTGCCATCCTATCCGTTCTGAAGCAAGGCAACTGATGCGGGGTTTCCGAGGCTGGGAGTTGTTATGGACGCAGACAGCCTCCTCTGGTGCGTTTAAATCACCAACCTTGCAGCGATCAATCCAATCTCAGCTGACAGGACCACCTACCACAGGGCTCGATTCCTACATACGCCCACCCCAAATATGTACAACATCTATCTAAAGTTAGAGCATTTGCATTTAAAATAAAAAAGAAGGTTTTCCTGCAGGAAAAGCCCGAGGCCTCATAAAAGTCCATGCCCGTGAACTTGAACCCAGAGGCCAGGAGCGGAAAAGCAATCCGGTCAAGCCTGAGCCAGTCAACATAAAGCACAGTGGGAGAGGGACGCCACAAAACTGTATACCTTCTTGGGACACTGTTGCTCTTCATCTCACACAGCATGTGCCTGAGTAACTGTGCCCCAGGTCCTGACAGCTTTTACAAGCAAAAAAACAAAAAGACAATTCTAAAGGCCGTCAGTCCAAAAGTGTAGGCTTTCCGAAAAGCTTAGCGAGGGTGGCGGTGTGACCTCAGGAGGCTACAGAGAGGATTCCTTGGAGTGTTTCTACTAATGTAAAGAACAAGGAAAGACCAACCTGGACACTCTCCTTCACCTACCTCCTCCAGCCGTCGCCTCTGTTCTTTCTGCTGCTCAATCCGCTTCTGTCTCTCTGCCAGCAGTTGCCTTTTGTATTCCTCCTGCTCTCGGAGCTGCTGCTCCTGCAGCAGCTGCTGTCTACGAAGAGCCTCAGAGCGCTCCTTGTTCTCCTGCTGCAGCCTCAGGAAGTCCCGCCGCAGAGTAGACTCTCCAGGCACGTTGACAATGGAACTGCGGGAGGGGCAAGCGCTGTAAGGGACAGGTCCACATGGCAGGGCCCTCCAGCTGAGCACCACCGACAGACACCCTAGTCTCCTTCTACACTTACTCTCTGAGGAAGTTGCTATCCGTCTACAGAAAGGACAAGGTCGATAGCTCAACGGTCCCATGCCGCCTTCTACTGATTTAGTAAATAGTTTAAAACACTGGCCTGCGTGTTTGTTTGCCAACTATTTCCAGGATACATTTACTCAGGAGTCTCACTTAAGTTCAAAATACATAAAAGTCAATAACTTTCTCCTACCACTGCACTAGTTCTTCCTGCAGTATCCATCCATAAAGGTGAGGTTTTCTGTGCTGCTAGGTTCTACCACCAGAGTGCAACTTAACTGCTTCATCTCTGTCTGATCAACTACCGCGTCTTGTCATGCATCTCCCCCACCTTCATTTGTTTATTTCCAGAGGGACCGGTTGCGGCCAAATGGATCCCGATGCACAGATAAATTAAGCAGCTGCGGTCCTCGCTGGTCTCCCCTCTGCAGAGCCATTTCTCTACTTGCAAAACCACTCAGAGTAACATGCCAAACAAATCTACAAAATCCTATTTGAAAAGATGTATTGCTCATGATATGGGTTCAAATCACCTACATAAGAAGCAGCTATGGAAATTTACTCAGTAAATGGTTTCTTCTTCTGACATACTCGCTTCAAGCTTGCGTTCTGGTACACAGTAGTCCTCGGATTCTCAACAAACCCTCCCGTCCCCCTCCTAGTCCCCCAGTCACTCCTGTGCAGCTTCAGGATGCCGGTACGGCATTAAAACCCAAATATCCTCCACCCCCCATTAATCACTTATTATCAGCACAGCTCTCAATTTTAACTCTTTGGCTTCTGCTTCAACTGTGCCTCAGAGACAAGGGATAAATCAAAACACAGATAGTAACCCAGATCAGGAGAGAACACTCTAAGAGAGGAAAGAAATGTTGGCAATCACACTGGTTAGAAGAGCATGTGTGTGTGCGCGCGTGCATGCACACACACACACACAAAGAGAGAAAAAATGAAGAGATTTGTTTTGAGAAAGACTGGCTTGGTGCAGAGTATTCAAGAAGGGCTGTACATCCCATCAACACCACAACTGATTTTATGCAGGCTGGCCCATGCACCACAGCTATTTCCCATCTGTCGTTCCCAGAGCATTAAAGGCTGGTGGTACCTCACGCACACTTCTCAGTGAGAAGGGCACAGACATTCCCTGGCAAAGACCACTGGGCAAGAGGATTCAAATAGGAAAAATGCTTGTAGAAACCTCCAAATAATAATAGAGAAGAATGAAAGATGCTGAGACACACTCAAATGAAAGATTCCTTCGTACTACCTAGGATCAAGATTTTCACACTAAGAATCTTTTGAAATCCCGGCTTCACCATGAAACTTCAGCTCATGGCAAAAGAGGCACTTGGCCACTGGAGGGTTGTTACCTTGGCTCTCCTTCCTGTTCAGGCACTTCCTCCTCTTCTTCCTCACTTCCACTGTACTCATACTCAGTTTCATCTATAAAGAGAAGGGCAAGATAATGTAACAGTTCACAAAATCATGACACACGTGTACAGACAAGTATCACCAATATTAGGAGAGAAAGAAATAATATGTCCGTAGAGGACCTGGGGGCATGGTGCGGCAGCGCTCACAACGAAGTCCCACGGTGACCGATGGTGATATCTCGGCTGGCCTTCCCACTGCCTCCCCGCAACAGAAGAGCTGATTCTGCTGCGTTCAAGACACCCCTTGTGGGATGAGGTGCTGAGGAAGCACAGGGGCATGAGAAAGGGCTCCCAAGCACTCGACACAGAAGATGAAGTGGCCCAGAGTACCAGCAAATTCAGAAAGTGCACTTTGATGCCCAAACGCAAAAGGGATTAAAGGGCTGAAACTAATCCAAGTAGTCAAACGAACTCAAGCCATCTTTAGCGATCAGGGTCCCACTGAGAGGACAACAGAAAGGGCAAAAAATCTGTTTATCTGACAAAATGTTCAACATTAAGTAAGTGTTTACTTAGAGCAGGAAACAGACCCACCAATTTTTGTCCCACCAATTTTTTAAAAAGGCCCAGGGAAATACTAATGAAATACCATACAGCAAGGAAACAAAAAACCAGACTTCCCATGAAAGTTTTGATGTGGATCGTTTATTTTCACCTCAGCAGGTTGTATGGCACATTAGCAAATTAAGAGGCCCTCGTATTGGGCCTTTCACTGAATGTTAGCACTCACTTTAAAGCGTGAGCACATTCACTCCAGTCACCAAGACCTGACAAGCTGAAGAGATTGACGCACTGACAAAATAGAAATACAAATGTTTTCTTTTCGTTTTTCCCACCAAGATTTATAAGATGAAAAGCACTTTTCTAGTTAAGATAGATTTTCTGGTTAAGAACCTAACAAAATAGATGTGACTGTTCACAAATCATGACACACATTTGTACAGACAAGCATCACCAATATTAGGGCATAAAAGAAATGCTATGTCCTTTGTGAGAGTAATAAGGTACACAGGAGCACTTAAGGGTGGGACACCATACCAAATTCCCACTTAAATATGTGTAAGAACTTAAAGGATCATTCAGGTCAAATCTGCCATGTATGTTCACGGAACTGGCTCTTTTCTATGCCAATTATAGAACGGATCATGGGGAAAAATCAAATATATTTAATGGACATGAACAGCTATTCAACTTTGAAGGGGAATTCCAAAATATGTAATTGTTTGGAACTGTTTAAATATACTGATACACTTAAAAGTTGGGGGGCTATAAGCTACTGATTAGGGACAAGAGAAACTGAGGGGCTGGGAAAGGTGAGCACTACGAGAATGCAGCGAGGCCTGTGTGTGGCCTGTCAACAAGGAAAGGGTGATCCAACATAAAGTAAGGTTTGCCCAAAACAGAGCTGCCTGTCAGTCGCCTGTCACTTTCTTGTTGCCCAAGGCTGGTCAGCTTAACCTACAATGCTTAATTACAGGCATGACGGAATCTCTGAAGGCACAACTTTTACTCTGGTGAAAGCTTCACAACATCTTTAAGACTCCAATGAATATTTCAAAAGTACAGTACACAGCCCAGGTGACTCAATCAACTCGTAGTGGCCTGAACTTTCTTTTAGGATTCTTCTTCTGCCTGAAAGTTTCCGTGTCCAAAAAAGGGGGACAGAGGGGAGCCATTCATGGGACGGCAGTTGCCCAAACGTGGTTCTGAGATGACTGCTCAGAGTTCAGAACACGGAAAAGAGCCACGTGAGCTAGTCTTCGGAGCACGTTCATTGACGCTGGTAATGGTGCTTGAACTGCACCTTGCCGGAGAAGAGAGAGGGCACTTTGCTGGCTGCTGGAGACGGCGGTGTGTGAAAAGACACAAAACCAACCATCAGGACATGGCGGCTACATTGGGATCAGAAAGGACTCTTAAGAAATCAGCGTAAGAGCAGCTCATGCTCCATGGTAGCGGTAAGGCAGGCATCCCATCAACTACTGAGGCACACAAGCAGCTTCAGTCTACAGCAGTGATAAACTCTGGTGGGCTCGCTGCAGCAAGAGAAAAACGATGATACCAATAACGCGCGATGTCCAATCAACTGGGGCCAAGTACAACCTTCGTGATGAAGCAGGAGGAAAACACGTAGCAATGAGATGTGGTCCTCAGAAAGAACCAGAGAAAACAGCCCACCACAGGGACACGCCACCACACCTTGGTGGCATCCTGCACAGTCAGTTCAAGTCGGCCTGGAGCCAGGCTGGATCCTGTACCCCACCGCTGAACTGCAGGCCAGGGGCAAACGAGCAATCAAAACCAATGTCATACCTTTCTCTCCTCTCTTCTTTCTGGTCCGGTCTATATGGTCCTTTAGCTGGATTCTAACTTGCCTTTCGTTTGGCTGATCCCTTATAAAAGGATGCTTCAAGAGCTGCTCTGTGGAGGGCCGCTGCATGTAATTCTTCACCAGGCACCCTTCTATAAAACTAAAAAATTTCTTGGACCTGTAAGAAGAAGTAAAGAAGACCGTCAAAGTTCTACTACAAGGAGCTCTAAATTACCAATTAAGATGCAAGCCTGCCAACAATGAAGAACCTCCGAATTCACCATTCCTCTCCCGCTCAGGAGTACTATGTTACTGCGGTTAGATACCAGGGAGAGACTCGACTGCATGTAACAGAGAGGAGTCCTGCCAGGTCCTGCCCCAGCTTCAGCCCACGGCGGCAGGCACTGCGCCAACCCACCACGATGGGGAAGGTGTGTGGCAGGGGAATAGAGAGAGCAGAAAGAGGCCACTGGCCATCGAAAGGATGGGGGAAACGATCCAATGAGATTTATTTTTCCCAAAAGAGAGTCGCTACATCAATTGATAGTGAAGTGAAAAATGTCATCTTACTTTCTTTTCGACCTTTAGTTCACTTTGCCTTCCTCGTTGAGCTTATAATACAATGCTAAACTGCTTTTATAGCTGAAGTAGGAACTCAGAACTTTTGGGGACTAGGAGCATTCGTTCATTGCTGTTTAAAAAGTTATTCCCTATCAACAAAAACTTATCACAAATAAAGAACCATGACGGAAGTCAGATCTCAAAGAACTGGGCTTCAATCTAATGTTGCTTCTTAAGCACATTACCCAGGCATGGCGGAGGCAAGATGGCTAAAGGCAGGGTGCTGTCAAAATGAGAGCAGAGAGAAGGAAGGTGTGTAATACCCAGGCGACCAGGACAGATACAGAGATTAAGAACATGAACTAAGCCAGCTATCAAACGCTAGGGCTCTTGACCCTACTAGTGCACTTCAATAAGAGCTCCACACTAGCTTATTTACGTAAAGAAAGCTTCTTTATCGGCATTCTCTGCCTTTAATGCGCAGAGGTAGAAACGAATTATTTTCAGAGAAGTGATGACTGTCCCCTGCATCTACCCTCTTGTCACTCTTGTTCCAGGCTCTCTGTGAATGCCTGGCTCAGGATATCTCCCAGCCCTCGGGCCTAGATGAGACTCAGGGAGCCATCCTATCCTGTGAAAGGCAAGCTTAGGGATCATCTGTTCTGACTTTTCTCCCCACACCTAGGCGGCCTTTCTTCTGAGGTACCTGCACTGACAGCTGGTTTCTTTGCTTCTCCATCCTCTACTGGGGTGAAAACACGCAGGTTGGGAACTGGTTTCCAGTTCTCATGTTGTCGACTTGAACAACACTGGGCATGGCTAACACCCGTAAGTTAAGTAATAAATTTTTGTTGAATGAATGAATATTTTGTCTTCTAAAATTTAATTTAGAAAATGAGTTCTGTTACTTCCAATTACTTCATTGTTTTTAATATTTCTATTATCTTGCATTTTCGTTCATATTAATGTTTTCTTTTCCGATTCAACAAATATTTATATACTAATTCCTGTTGGTTTTTTATGTCAGACTCTATTAGAAATAGTGGAATTTAGGAAAATAGAATAATGAGCTAGAAACAAACTAACAGGAGGGGGGCAAATAACACTTAGAGCGAGCGGGCTAAGCATAAACAAAGCGGTTACCTGATAGTGCAAAGATGGGCCAGGGAGGACAGGACGCCTCAGTGAAAAGGCAACATGAAGAAAGGCGGGGAAGGTTTAAGGTGCAACAAATACTTGTCTGCGACAGGTAGGAAACGTGGAGGGGACTAAGCAAACAGATGCGGGACAGGGGCCATCCAGAGAAGGACCTCAGTCACTCGTTTGATTGCAGGTGCAAGGAGGGCCAGCCAAGCTCCTCTGTGGTGCAGCAGAAGGCTCTGACCCAAATCGCTCGTGAGAATCATTCTGAGGAGTGTGCTTAAAAGTACAAAGACGTGGGTCATTTCCCAGGTCAAATGAACCAGAGTCCTGAATTGTAAGAGCCCAAATAGATTTTCATGCACACTATCTGCAGATGCAATAAGGTAGTTCTAAAAGTCAAGTCTCCCAAGTTCTGCCGGAAGAGAAGGCACCAGTCATCTTTAGGAAGCGCCTTCTCTACAATCCGCAGTAGAAATATTTATCTGGTAGACAGGAAGACAGAAGTCATAAGTGGAAGAGAACTCTAGGTTTATAATCATCTAGTCTTGTTAAAATGCTTGGGTTATCAATAAAATGAGAACAAGGATGAAATGGACAAACAACATTTAATCAAGTTGAGTTATAAAACTCTGATGTAAGAAATAAACGCAGGAAGCATTACTGTGGCCTCTCTGGGGCCTTCCCCATCGTTGCATGTCTTTGTACACACAGAGGTTAACCCAAGAGCAAAGAACAGTCCAAGTCAACTGATGAAACTCAGCAAGTATGAGTTATCCAGGGCTAACGTATTAATTTAGCAATCCTTCTGATACAAATTTCCTTCTATACATTCTGACCAAGAAAGAGGGCTAAGCTACTACTATCTCTGTTATATGAGCCCGGGAAAAGGTGTTCTGCCAGCCCAACAGCTCGTCCTTAAGAATGGTTATACAACCAGTTGGACTCCCGAGGTGTGGCCATCCATGGATGTCCACAGATGTATGTCTTAACCGTGTAGAACTAAAAATCTTTCCAACTGTGTGTGACCCTGAGGAAGCTCTCACAGTAAGGAAGTGGAACTAGCCTACGAAATGCACTGTCTTTGAGTCTATTCCAACTGACGGCAAACCTACAAAGGGTTTGCTAGGCTTTATACAGCCTCATCTTTCTCCCTGGGAGCAGCTAATGGTCTGAACTGCTGACTGTGTGCAGCTAGTAGCCTGACACCTACCACACAGGGGGGCCTCCAGGCTCCTCTAACTGGAATTAGGACAGCTTCAATTTTCTAGGGCACTGGTTCTCCCCCGTCCTAATGCCGCCACCTTTTAATACAGTTCCTCACGTTGTGGTGACCCCCCAACCATAAAACTATTTTCATTGCTACTTCATAACACTAATCTTGCTACTGTTAGGACTTAAGCGACCCCTGTGAAAGGGTCATTCGGACCCCAAAGGGGTCGCAACTCACAGGTTAAGAACCGCTGGTCTAGAGTTAAATGAGGTTCCATTCAGCATAGAAAGAATGAGGAGAAGACTGCAAATGCAAGAAAAGTTATTGGAAGGGTGATGAAATTGTTGGGGCAAAGATAGTGGGGATGAAGGAAAAGCACGACAGACACTGAAGTATGATGGAAACGTGTGTGCGCGCGTCACAGCCCGAGGCGGGAAAAGGAAAGGGAAGCCCAGCAGGCCACCAGACCCAGGACAAAAAAGGTTGCAGCTGACGGACCACATGCAGACTAGGCGGACCTTAAACCGAGGTCTTCTCCATCAAGCACCTAAAAGAAAACATTCACTGGAAAAGCATTGAGTCGTTTCAGAAAGGGGCTGGGGCGCGGGGTGGGGGGACTGGGGTTTACAAACAAACAGGAGAGGCAAGAAGACGAGCCCAGAGACAGTGACATGACCAAAGGAGGAAGCCAGGGCCCACGTGCACAAGGCCTTGAATATAGAAAAAAGCTAGGGGCGGAGAATTCAGAGAAAAGAACAAGAGGGAAGAAGTGGGCAAAATTCCCCGGTGAGACGAAGTAAGGTTCACTTCCTTTCCATTTCTTAATATAGAACCCACACCAGCATTTCCCACAAGACGGCAATTCTAAAGGTTTTCAACTCCCTCCCCAGGTATCAACAGTTAGACAAACGCATGGGAGCTGCAGTCGCTGGAAAAGGGGGGCCACCAACAAGAGGGTTATTCTCCTACTCTGTTCCACTGGAAAGAAAACAGATGCACCTAACTGCAGTTGTGTAAAAACTACAGGAAACACCTCTAATAATCTTAAGATCCTATTTCACTGGAGAAACTGCCTTCGGTGCACATACGTCTACAAACATATCACACTTAAAAAGTGTGTTTACATATTAAAGTGAAATGTGGGGGTTCATAGGGTCATCTTGTCACTGTTCTAGAATCCAAAGAGAATTTATCAAGAAAAAAAGGAGAAATGCATGTTTTATTTGGTTTGTGTCTGGGGGCACTGGCATGATCATGTGCAGTTGGAAATCAGAATGGCCAGCATTTTGTCTCAGAGAAAAGTAAACCTAAAACCAGAACATTAAGCATAAGGAGTGGGGGGAAAACAACAACAAAAACCACACATCGCTTACCATTTTTTGGACTTCAGCCGGGGAGGAGGGTTTCTGGGAATGAGAAACAGGGCTCTCATTGGATGCATGTCACAGAGAGCTGGGGAGAGGAGACGGGCGTGTAAGTATGTCACTCACGGTACTCATTCATGATTTCCAGGGCTCATGTTGAACGTCAAGTGCTTTCCCCCACTGTCCAATCCATATGCTTAATGTCAACAAGCCTAGATATCTAGGTCTGAACCCTAGGATATGTCCTGATGAATTCCCCATTAAAAAACAGCAAAACATAAGTAGAACAAGAGCAATACGAATATGCAATTTCAAATAGACATTGGAGAGTTTTCGGAAGTTAAAGATAAATAGGGTAAACCAAGAAAGGGGAGTCTGCCCTTGGGGAAAACGGGCAATATTACTTACACACAGGTACCCAGTGGGAGAGTCCACCTAGCATTATCTTGCTAGTCATGCATTTTTGACCCTGATTCTTTTCAGCTCTCAGCATGCTATAGACTACCTGGATTGTTGAGCCTGTCTTTTGAGGTGTACAGCATTCTTCATAGACATCAGAAATGTGTGGTTGGGAAACTCCACTCAGGGAATCAGAACTTACTTTAAACACACCTATTGCAGATTAAAGAACCTGAACTACAATGAAAGAAACACCCTACAATGAGAAGTAGCAGCAGCCTGCTATCCCAAGGTCATAGATTTGGAAGTCAGTGAACTTCAGTTCAAATGACTTGCTCTTGAGTTCACCCAATAACGTGCAACATAAGATTACCATTTATTTATTTTCATACTTTTTTTTTTGCTTTTTGTGCCATGGCTAGTTTTGTCTTAGGAAATATGAAGTTGCAATTTTAGCCTTGTGTCTAACCCTCATTGCTTTCTAAAAGTGTCAAATTACTTAGGTTTTTAACCTATACAAAAGTGAACATTCCATGGAATTTAGTATAAAAAGCTTCTGTGGATTTCCTTTTCTCAATGACAACTTCAAAATCTGTACTACTAGCTAGATTATTGTTATTAGAATTGCCAAATATCTCATGGAGGTTACTTAAATTATTTCTCAACAAGTTGATATGTTGCCTCTAAAATGTAATGGAGAAACATAAACTTTAGAAATATGAACGGACTCTGAGCTTGCACTTAATCGCAGCCCTGATCTAAGAACAATTAGTTCTTACAATATGGCCCTACTCATCAATACTTACCCTCATGAAGTGGTCACTAAAGATATGGGTGCAATAGCTAAGTGTGCTGAAGAAATCAGATAGTGCCCAGCTACAGAATAGCAACTGCGTGCACTTGTCTCAGAACAAGCAACCATGTAAGTGAGGTGTCAGCTAAGTCTACGTGGAAGGAGCACACCACCCTGTGTGATCCAAGGACTATAAATAATAAAATCCAAGATGAGAGGTGGGAATTGTATTAGAGCTTAAATTCTGAGTACAGTTTGCAGAAGGTCATGGATGACAATGACAACCCAAAATCCACATGCAGAGCCCTCACGTGGTCTAAGCCTCCACTGAACTCCCTCAGACCACTGACTAGGGCTACAAATAGTCTTGTCCTCAGACAATGTGAAAGTGGATTGTTCCAGACATAATTAGACTAAATTATAACTTATTATCATTTGTTTTCCCTTTGACCCATTTTAAAATTTCTTCTAGTTTCTATTATCTTTGACTTTCTTTTGGATTGAGATTTTTCTGTGTTATAGTTTGTTGTCATTGTTGAGGTTTTTTGCTATGGTTTTAAAAATATGAAATATAGCATAAGTAGATCCACAGAGACATGAACTAGATTAATTACTCCTAAGGGTTAAGGCAGAGAGACTGGGAAACTAATAATAATGGGTAAAACGGTGGAAGAAAATGTCCTAAAATTGATCGTGATGATAATTGCAAAGCTCTTTGAAATATATATAAACCACTCAATTGCATGGCATACATGAATTGTATGCTAATAAAACATTCTTAAAATTGTAAATATTCAAAATGTCAGCATGTAGTTATTAACACCAGAAATACTTAAACTATAACATGAAAATAAAAATATTTTCATAGGACGGTGAGGCTTCACGAGGCCTGAAAAGACCTTCACATGATGCCTCGGAGAGAATATCAGACTCAAGCCTTTCCACGAGGATGTTTGCTCACTGTCAAAGCTACTACTGCTAGGAAAGGGGAGAGGGGAAGAAACAAAGAGGTGAGTCTAGAGTTAAGTTGCTTAATTCTATCAAGTACTGTTTGCACTTCTGCCATGTGCCCAATAAAGGCCCTACAGGCGCACGTGATGCACTAATACATCATAAAAGGCAATGTGCACTTCCATCTGTGTATCTGCCTTTTGAAGAATCTTATAATGCAGTTGGGATGGGGCGCACCAGGGACAACAGGAGCCCCATCATAAAGGAACACGGGGACCGAGGATCAGGCAATGCTTCCTCGGCTCAGCTGCTAAGAGGGAAACATGAAGGGAGCGTGTAGTCCTCAGAGCAGGTATCCATTTCTGTATCATAAACTATATTTTTATAAACGGATGAGATACTTTCATTCATTCAACAAGTATTTATTTAGCACCAAACATGGAGTAACAAGTATGCATTCTTTCTGTCTACTTTTATTAGAGGAGACTAGCAGGTAACATTTTGTTGTTGTTGTTCTCTGCAAGTATACCTTCATTGTCTCTGATCAAAATTCAATTTTACAAAGTTCTCATTTGATTTAATGTAAGGGAAAAACACTCATAGAAGGCATAAAATCTTCATCGGTGAAAGAAAAGCATAGCTCTATAGAAAGCAGCCGTCTCTGTTCGTCAAGTCAAAGCATGACCAATACTGAAACACCGCATGTTAGGATCAGTTTCACCACACACTGAGCTTTAAAAACTAAAAGGAAAATTCAATGGAGCTTTACCAAAAGAAACATAGTCCTATCAGCCTCAGCGAGATTGCCACAAAGAAAGGTAGGTTTGAAGAACCCATTTAACATCTAAAACCCGATGCGATGAAATGTGCCACCCGAGTGGCTTGATCCACGGAGCTCAAGCTGTGGGACGAGGTTACAGGAAAAGAGTGGGCCTCAAAGGAGGGAAGTTACTTACGAGGAGCGCCTTCTGCCATCTCAATAGCCGTGATGCCACAAGACCAGAGATCACTCTGCAAACACAAAGCAGTCAGTCATGAGGGTGCCAATTCAGGGTTTCTGGTATGTATGCAAATGAAATAGATACTTTTTTTGGCTGTATAAATGTACGAGGAGTTTGGCAGGAAAGGAAACAGAAAACACACACACACATTTGTAGGAATGCCTTACAAAGAAACAATAAAGAAAAATTGATGATCCACATAAAAGCTTTCTCCAGTACCCCCACACGGGCTCCCGCTCAGCGGGTGTCCTCGCAGGTGTCCCACCTCCTTACAAGCACGAAGTAGTCTGTACCCCAGCCGAGATCCAAGCTTACGCCTACATTTAATATCTCACAATGGATTCAAATTTTAAAAGTTTCAAGGCCAGAAGTCACTCTTCATAAAAAAAAATTCCATAAGTGAATCCCTAAACTCACTAATTCCTATCATTTGCCTAAACATTTCTACTTTCCCTTTACATGAAAATTACAAAACTGAACGTGCTACCATCGAGTAGATGTGGACTCTCAGTAACGTGATGGGACAGAATAGAACTGCTCCTTATGGTTTCTGAGACCGCGTGTCCTTAACGGAGCAGCGGACGGCGTTGCAATGCCGGCACTGAGGATAGGAACTCAATATTCAACCGGCTGCACCCCCAGCTTGCCTAGAAAGATCTCTTTCCCTTCAAATTAAACAAAGTGGTATACTAAAAATGCTTTTCTGCGCATAAAATCTTTTCCTTCTGATGTCCCTGAAATATTAATCTGAAAACGTGAGCTTTAATTTTATTTCCCGCTCAAATGTAAGTTCCATGAAGGCAGGCATCTGTTTAATTCATTTTTGTATCCCCAGAATCAGATACCTATGGCAGACAGCGAATGAAGTCTCAATGTCATAAACTTTGGACAAGATTTGAAAGATGCCGTTAACTTATTTGTTTTCATTAGTAGCCTTTGGTTTATATTCTACTGAAGCCAAGGAATTACTTAACCCAGCTAGGCTTAATGGTTTTAAAGTAACCTGTAATTTATGATATGGAGCCCTGGTGACAGGGGGTCGTGTGCTGGGCTGCCAACCACAAGGGCGGCAGTTTAAACCTACCAGCCTCACCCAGGAGAAAAAGGAGGCTTTTTGCTCCCTTAAAAATGTATAGCCTTGAAAACTCAAAGGGAAGTTCTATTTTGTCCAATAGAGTTATGGCAGTGAGTTACAATTTAGCTTACAAAGTTTGGACACACTGGTGGTTTGAATACAAGAATAGAATACCTTATCCCCAACGCCTCAAGTCAATTCCAACTCAGCAACCCTCTAAGGACACAGTAGAACTGCTTCACGGGGTTTCAGAGACCGTTCATCTTTACAAAAGCACAAGAATCATCTTTCTGCCACAGAGTTCGTGGTGGGTTTGAACCATCGATCTTACGAACAGCCTGTTGGTCAACCCCCTGCACCACCAGAGCTCTTAGGGTAGGACTGTGAATGTCTCCCTTTTTTGTAATGGAGGTTTCTAGTCGATAGTACAGTAAAGAAAGTTACCACTTTAACCCAGTGACCAATATTAATGGTGGGACAAGAGATGTTACCCAATTCTGAACGTGAAACAACCCAGAACATGCGACATCCCCATCATCTGTGAGGTGAGCCTGCTAAGAAGGCTTTCCTCGATACCAAATGAGTGTTTCCAATTTACAGCAAACAAGCTAAATGACATTACAAAGAAGTAAAGGCAGATCTGGTGTGTGGAAAATTTGTATGAGGGCAAATATCTTCAACTAGTTGGTGTCATGGGTGGGGGGGGGTGTTTGTAGACTAAGATTTAGTAGGCAAAACAATCCTACACAACTGAACAAAAGAAACTGTTTTTATTATTTTAGGCATGATAATAATGTGGATAGGTTGGGTATTCTTGTTAAACAACTTCACAGATTTAACTTGGTACAAATGTTTAAATGATTAAGGTAATTTCTAGGAACCGTTGTCAGTAATGCCACTCTAATATTGAAAGAGTCACAAAACCTTTAACACAGTTTTAAATATTTTGCATATAGGTGAAATTAAAATTCCTCTGTATTACAGGCTTAATTAAGATTGCATTCATTATTGAAATAAGTGGCATGCATTAAACTAAGTTAAACTCAATTCTGTATGATCCTATCAAGTACATTAACGACTCTAACTCAACTGAATCAATGGGATCGTTTAAGAAAAATAATAAATTCAGTAAATAAATTCAACTCAAATCTGATTCTCAGATGTGGGCTTTACACCTGGAACAAAGAAATGGAATTGCTGAAATCAGTTAGTAGGATCTTGCTAATAATTTAAACACGTGTACCAAATTAAATCTGTAAAGCTCTTTTAACAAGAGTGTTCTAAAATTTTGCAGACATAAAACTGTTGCTATATTCTGATATTTTAAAAAGAACA